ATTCTGGCTGTAGTCCCGCTTGAGATTATTTGGACTTTTGCCCGTCTCACAACCTAACGGTAGACACCGAAAGGTCTTGCTTTATACGTCACAGAGGCTTCGAAAGCTACGTATGGATTCTATGCTCTTGTATAGAACAAACATCCTTGGCCTTCTGACCCCAGGAAGGGTTATAGGGGGCCTAAAAAATTACTTATACTATTTTGGGGACTCCTTATACGGGCGGCATGAATTTATGTGGCCATGAAGGTTGTCTTGTTCGTTTTTCCTCCGTGCGTACAGGGTCACCATGGAATCTAAGAATCTAAGATAGTTCTCTGTGATCAATAACTGATGTTTCATATTGCTCCAAGACGATGCTCGTGAAGCAGTAGACTTTTCGCCTTGAGACAAATAGTAGGCCTCAGAGTAAAGCCTGCACTCAGCAGGAATGCATGTGAGACGCCTGCTTCTTGTCTCTTACAGCAACCACCTCAACTACACACTAAGCCTCAATCCTATACCCTCAAGCCGAAAGCCCAAGCTTTGAACCTCAAACCTGAAACCTCACGGCCTCAGGTTTGAATCGGCGGCCACCCGCCTGAAGGATGGAGACCTGCCCAGCTGCTCCCACATTGTCGTGTCTCCTCCGGGAGCGCCCCTTGGGAGCAGAGTTCATCACTCGTATTATGGGTGGCTGTCGAAATTAGGGTCCCTTGTTGGGTCCCTCTAATAATACGGCACCTATTATTTAGGGTACCCAAAAAGGAACCATAATTTTGACAACCACCCATATGGGCCTTACTACTCGGACTAGGCATAGAGAGAGCACTCCACGTTATGTAGTGACCACAACAGACAGTGGGGCACCTTGAAATTGGACGCTACTTATCAGCTCTCAAAGACTGCAAGATCCAAGGTATGGCACCGACCCTACGAAATACATGCTCAGCGCGCACACACCGGACTTCACAGACGCGCAGTCCGTGATGCTTCCTGGCAGGATCAGACCCAGGGCCCTAGACCCCAAACCGTAGCCCCTAAATCCCAAACTCTCGCCAATTCGTAATGATTCTGTAGTCTAGTCTCCATAGTCTCCAAGTCTATGCATCGAGACTGTCCGAGAGACCGCATGCATAAACTCTAGACCCGAACCCCAAACCCGTGAGCCTCATAGTAAGCCCTATCGACCCTCCTTGAATGCCTTATACCCCCCAAACGCTATGAGCACACACTGCCTTCAAGTTCCGACCAAAACCCCAATAAAACACGCCCTGATCCACCAAAGATAACCTAAACCGTCCTAAAACCCTCAAGCCATGCAAAGGGCCCTCGGGAAGAGCCTCCGCGCCGCCGCGCGGAGTGGCCTCCGCAGCCCCGCTGGGGACTGCATCTAGAGATTTATAGGTTTGAGCTAAGGGCTTAGGGTGCAGGGCTTAGGGTATAGAGCTCAGGGGCTTCGTGTTCCGGGTTGAGGGCTTTGAGCGTGGTGGGGTTCAGGGCTTAGGGTTCAGGATTTTTAGGGTTTTGAGCTAAAGACTTGTGGTGCAGGGCTTCGGGTTCAAGGCTGAGGGCTTTGAGTTTAGGGTGCAGGGTTTGGGGTTTTGAGCCGAGGAATCTGAAGCAATTAGTTACTAAGATTGCCACTTTTCAGCCCTCAATTGCCATGCAGTAGTCGTACCAGTAGTACTTGTTGTTGTTGTTGTAGCAGCAGTAGGAGAAGGAGCAGGAAGAGGAGGAGGAGAAGGAAGAGGTAGTAGTATCCAGAGACTCGACTGCATAGACTACGTCTCATCAGGAAACCGTGCGCCGGCAACCGAATATAGAAACTAATGCATACTATATACTGTTCCTTAGCTTTTCTCATTAAGTTAAATGATAGTGCACCCCGAAGCCTTGTTCTGCTTGCTAAGGCCCCTATATCAACCACGAAGAACCGAAGGCAAGCAACCTGAAAGATCTTAGGACTGAACCATGAAAGACCTGCTAGACCCAAAGCGTGCACGGGGTGTAGGACTGGGGCGAACTCCGGGACGACCCTTTCGCGGCCCCGGGGAAGAAGGCAATGTTCTGTTCCGCAGCAAGATCAAGTTTGGTGGTCATGATGATGGTGCTGAAGATGAGAGGAAGACGATGAAGCTAATTATTTCAGATGATGTCGGTGGTTTGTTGGACTGGCATAACGGTGCTGGCAGCCAGCCCCACCCCATATGTATAGCCAATAGCCAAGGATCCTCACAGTGCTTCTGCAGCAACAGAGTCATCACAACGACCGAGCAAGACGACCGCAACTCCAATCACATTCTACGGTTTACCATCGCGACCATACCCCCCCCCGCACTACCAACACTGCCAAAATCACCGCCAACAACAACAAAATCAATGACAGCGGCAGCAACAGCTCTAACAGCAACGCCAACTCCAACCCCAGCCCCAACGCCAGCAGCAGCGCGGCGACCGCAGTCACAAAAGCAACATCAGCAGCAATAGCGCTTGAACATGCACCAGCAACAGCAGTACCTCAACCAACAGTAAGGGCGGGTCCATCTAGGGCAACAATCCTTTCCAAGCTTGGCTTTCAGATGTGTGTTCACGTAGGTATCGTATGTGCCTATGGCCACATATTGATAACATCTACCTGTAGTTTTCAGCAACATCAGCAGTTGGCGACCATATGTGTGGATGCTAGTACGCATGCCGGCATGTATGCACGTACGTGCAGGTGACTCTTGCAGCTGAGCTACACGATGGATTCCCTCAGACTTCCCCCGAAACTCTTAAAAGTCTAGCTTGCTGATTGAACTAGGTAGGGCTTTGGAACATTTTGTATTTCCCCTTATTGGGCTTAAGAGGATCTTGCTTGCTAATATTTTTCAAAGGCTTTCACAGCCCCACCTGGTTGAAGAGCCTGGGGGTTCAGAGCAGACAAGTAGGAGGTCGGACAGCAACATCTGGGTAGTTGTCAAGATTAGGATCCCTTTTTGGGTCCTTATTATAATACGGGCCCCTAATATTTAGGGTACCCAAAAAGGGACCATAATTTTGACAACCACCCATCTGCTTGTGAGGCCTCCTTGGTTTTCAAGCCGGACGTCTTCACTCGTTTGAATTTGCACAAGATCCTCGTCCCATTGGGCTGCTGAAACCTTAAGGACTAAATGAACCCCCCCCCCAAAACGGTGTAAGATTCATATACCATACACGGATTCATAGTATAATGGTATAGGGCCCCTACTTATAGGGGTCGTTTGGTCCCAAGGAATGGAACCTGGGGGTCTAACGCAGTATACGCCGCAAGCACGATCACGCGAAGGGGGTGCAAGTCGTTAACCCCCAGCCTTGACATCGGTTACTAATCAAAGCCATGTAGCATATGGGTAGTTGTCGAAATTAGGGTCACTTTTTGGGTCCCTCTAATAATACGGCACCTATTATTTAGGGTACCCTAACTTTGACAACCACCCATATACTTTTGCCCGGGCACCGGCAATCCTAAGTGTCACAGACCGAGTCTTGGTGAAGCGACACTTCCTGCAAAATCTACTGAAAACCCTGGGCTGCTTTTCAATGCCCTCTCGTCCTGACATCTGATTGTGCTTGCTCCTGCACGTTGTGACGTTTCATAATGCCTCATCTACGACATTGCAGAATCTTTCGTGGCCTCGCACAACAGAGTCAGAAATCTTAAGGAGGAACCACTCTTCGCGACTTCTAGACTTCTCGAGTCACTCCTACTTGGATTTACACAACGTGTGCGTAACTTCGAAGCAAGGAAGAACCCCTATGGCATCAAGACCACGCTCCACGTGTTGGACCTGTGACGCCGGTTGAAGGTCGTGACAGCATGTTGGGGAAATACTGAAGGAATACCCGGTGATGAACAAGGATCAGCTTGACCATGTAATCATTTCACGAAACATGAGAGTTCGGAATTCGGTGCAGATTTATGGCTTTGGCGAGGTGTAGGGTTGGTACTACCATGTGCGTGCCGTGGTCTCTATCCCAAAGGCTCCATGTACCTTTATAGTAAATACTTAAGGCTGAAAGGGGTCCCTATATGGGTACTTTAAGGCCTAAGTATCTACTATATGGCAATATGGGTACATGGAGCCTTTGGGTATGTACAGTCTTTGCCACCTTCGGCTGCTGCAAAAGTCCGTGGAAGCTAAGCTCAAGGTCGGCTCCGGGACCTTAGTTGGAGTTTCGGGTTTAGGGTTTAGCGTTTAGGGTTTAGGGTATAGGGTTTAGGATTTCGGGTTTAGGGTTTAGGGTTCAGGTTGGGGCTTTTGTTCAAGCGGCATCTCTAATCTCTGATTATCGTAGCTATTCCAGGCTCTCGACTCGATTGCTCGTCAATTTGGTTAGCAGCCGCCACGCTTCAGACTCCAACGGTTCTGTGAGGTCCGACGACAATGTATCATAGTCTGATGCGAGAGAAGTGTTGTGCATTCGACAAGCTGACCTGCACAATGTTCGGACACCACAAGCATGTAAGCCTACATATCTACACAGGTTGCAGGCGCACGTTTCCTCGTTCGAGTCACCTGTTTGACGTCTATATATGTACATGCAGTCACGAATACTTGCATACGTGCATCTGTGCAGAGGCGCAAACACACACCAACAACCGAAACACAAACCAACAAGCTTATTCGTGTACATGCTTGCCTGCTGGCTCGCGCCCTTGCTTACTCGCCTGCCTGCCCGTCTGTTGTTTACTCACCTACCTGCCTACTAGGTGCATACTGCCTTACTGCTTGCTGCTTACTTTTAAACTGTTCAAAGATACATGCACAGATGCATGATATGCAGGTCCACCACATTCGCACGGAAGATCACCACAGCACGTGGATCCACCGACATTCTCCTACAAAGGTGGACCCGGCATATATGAGAGTGGCAAAAATTTGGAAGCTCCCAAAGCCCTAAATTTTAAGGATCTCTCCCACATCCCACATCTCACATCCCTGAGCTCTATAACGAAGGCCCTAACTCTAAACCCCGCATGCTTGCTCCCAAAGGTCAGACCATCAAGATAAATCTCCCCGGCAAGAGCAGACGTCGGGAGGAGAAAGCTGAGGCAGGGAGTTGCTGTGTCGGGTCAACATGCAATGTCACAGCTTCGTGATTGGCTCAGGCGGCTTGGGGTTTATATTTCAGCTTTCAACTTTGTTCATGAAGCGAGTCATTCCCCAAACCTACCATGAGGTTCAAACCGCAACGTGGCAGATCTTTAACGACAAGACTTGTTGCTGCCGTGAGCTTCAACCGCACCATGCCAAAGTCCGAAATCCCAGAACCGGAACCCCCAGTCACAATAGTGCCAGTTGAGCAACAACACTGTGTTCCCTCCAAGCCTGAACGCCCTAATTGCCGCTTCCAAACTTGTGTGCAAGAAGAGACTGTGCTGGAGCATCCATGGCCTCGATCTGAACCACTTAAAACCTCCTGCGATCCCTCACCCTTCTACTCTGGGCTGCCATCTAAACTGAATCCAAACCCCAAGCCCTCCAAGCCTACTAAACCCCAACCCTGCAACCCAAACCCTAACCCCCCCCCCCCCCCCCCTGACCCCGGTCATACGCAGAATCTCCCAATCCCCAACTTGCGATCCGAACCCCAAGTTCCCTTCGACCATCCGCCGAAAGCCTAACACCAGAGATGCAGCACCTGCGATCCCAAAGTGTCCTCAGTCTAAGTGGCCCACATCGTGGTAGCGTGTCGATGGTAGGAATTACGACTGTGACTTTGGACAGTAGACCTTCTGTGGGATAGGAGACTGCTTGAAATTGAGTAGCTCACACCCTTGTCGTCACTACGACTGTCATTATCTTACTCTACCATATCCCTGGTTGATTGATAGATAGGTAAATAGATAGATATAGACACATGCGCACGATATCCAGGAGCTGACAATCATACTAGCTTGATAAACAATACTGTAACTGAAAGAACTACAGTCATTGTCAGACTTTAGGGCTCTATAAGAATGTAAATCATATACTAACCAGAATCATAACAAGCATGTTCTTCATGCCGCAATATCCCACGGGACTTTATTCAAATTCAATCATCCACGGCCCCTGTCCCACACCCAGAACCCCGGAGATCTCCCCCAAGTCGACTCGCCAGGGTGGCTATGCTGGTGGCTTCGGGGCTCTAGCGCCGGGAGCCCGGGCAACCCAAGAGTCCTGGGACTCTAAACTCTAAACCCCGAAAGAAGTCCTTAACGGAGCCCTGATAGCATCCCTAAAGGAATCCTGCAACCCTCCTGAAGAAGGAGCCTTGAGGACAGGCGCTGTGGACAAGTGAGCAGTTTGAGCTTTCCGGTTATTCGCCACAGACTGGTAAGTACACCTTGTATAGCCTTGTGTTCGATGGCATGTCTAATGGCACAGCAAGACTACTTTGGACCGCAGACCCCACAATTATTCAGGCTAAGCCGATCCTTGCTGATTCTGTGCGCTTGGTGGCGGATTCGTGCAGTGGAATGACACAAGTGCTTTCAATGCTCTCGGGTGCTGCGCTGCTTCAGGTGGACAAGTGCAACTTAGCCTAAACACTACAGGACAATGGTGGCCTTACGATGACTGGTGACATCGGTATTGAGTCTGTGCAAGCCCGCATACATCAAACAATCCAATCCTTTCAATGCATGCAAGCCTCCGCTACAGTCGCTGCAGGATTTTCGACACATATTCGTATTATCCTGCGTGTATATATGTGCTTGTTCATTTATACACACCTGTGCGAACATGTGTATATCTGTCTATCTGTCTATATATACATATATGTGTATACACACATAGATATTATAGACATATCACAGATATGGATGCAGATGTATATGTGTACCTGAGTCATATGCCTTTTCATTTAGGTTGAGTCTAAGAGCGGCTCAAAGCCTTGCATTAGGTTAGTTTAAGCGGTGACGCTCTCTCGTCAGGGTCTTCTGTGTGGGAGGAGATTCAGACGGCATGAATACAGTTCCTTGTAATCCCTACCCGCAAAAAGTGTTCTGTGCAGTCATCCCTTATCCTTTTCGCATCACCGCAGGCGTGAGCTGGGCAGTTCCTGTTTCTGGACAGCTCTGCAATCAATGCCCGCAGTCATGTCCTTGTCCGAGACCCTACAGCGATGGAAAGAAGCAGGCAGCCACAAGTCATGATTTGGATCAAAAATTTAGCAGCACCAAGGTCGAAGCACCAAAAGCAATGCTGTAATTAGTTCAGAGTATCCAGAGGGACCTGATTCCATACTGGTAGTATACATGGACCGTCTTGGGTATACAGACATCTAGTTTAAGCTTCTCCGAGGCCCCCGCCCCCTTCGGCGCCATCGCGGCGGCAGGTTCATCCACGATTGTCGATGATAGGTCTGCCCTAAATGCTTTTCTGGGCATGCGACACGAGATTAATGATACTACACTATACTGCCATACTGTACCATACTAGACTAATTATACCATACATTATCAGACGATACGATGCATTTCAGCACGACTATACTGTACTAACTCGACAATACAGCACCATACTGAACTATACTATACTGTAATATGGACATTCTGAGCCTTCCTCTGCATTAGAGTCGGCTTGATTGCCCTTTTCCCCATATCCGTACTAGTCCACAGGGCCGAACTAGTTAATTTCGGGAAGTGCATGAGGATTGGGTACTTGAACCGTTGCAAACCCTCTTGGGGTTTAGAACAAAAATCAGCGGCTTGGAGGTGACAGCCCAGGTGGTCATAATAGAACATTTTGATATTTGTTATCACCTTGAAGTATGTCGATGATATTTTACTGTATTCGACCATATCCTATGCCATTCAGTACGACCTAATGGATTCCATCATCTGTTCGTCTCTTTATGCTATCTTCTACTATGTCATGTTATTACCGATTGTACCGCATTACCCTAGGAATCCAGGTATCTGAATGGTATAAATCATACACCCCAGCTTTCTACTATTTAGGGAACCGGAGGCCTAGAAGAGGCCAACATGTACCAAACCCAGGGACTCGAACATAAACCCTGGACCCTAACCGATACAGGAACCCTTATGGATTATTATTGTGCTGCATTACTAGGGGCCTTACAGTAATGATTAATATGTTTAGGTTTTGATGCCATTTATGTTTAACGACTATATGATAATAAGGAACCACCAACGATTATAATACGGAACCACCAAAACAGTATAGGTAATTATTAAGGCCCTTACCTTATCTAATCTTATCTTGCAAGGAGCCTGCTCCTGCGGCTGCACCGGCCCTGTCCCCACCGGCGGCAGCGCCAGTGCAGGTGACAACATATGTGCATTGAAAGTAGAGGGGCCTCACTAAGGGGTTCTGTAGGATAGGTGCATTTGTAGGTATAAAAATTATAGGGTTGTGAGAAGGTATTGTAGATACTTTAATCAGGGTTCTATCAGAGAGTTATGAACCCTTACAGAAACCCTGCAAAGCCTTCTGACCATTATTTCCTACCATACAGAACCACTGTTGAACTCCTATAGGAGCCCTTCAAAGCCCAATACCTTGAGGATCAAATCACCTGCATAAGTAGGGGCTCCAAGACCATTTTGCTATGAACCCTTCCGTGGTACATGAACCTTAAGCCCTTTTGGTTCCTTTCGTCCTAGTCGTAAAGGCAAGGGATTCTGTAATTGAGAGACCCTTTAGGGTATCATATTGTAGAGGGCTTTATGACTGGACTGGGATTTGGGAGCATCTCATATTACGTCTTTCATGAGAGAGCTTCCAATGAAACATGATTTCATAGGGATTTTTAGGGGGGTGAGCGGGGAGGGGGTAGGTCCTTATTATGGGCATGAAGCCCCCTAGCCCGCGTAAGGATCCCTACGATGTTTGGGGCCGAAGCTTTCAGGGACATAGAAGCCCTAGAGCCTAAGACCTAAACGCTATAAGCCAAAAGCCCCTGCCCCGCAAAAAGGAGCCCCGGCACCGTCGGCTCCGCTACTGTCATGATAGCTATTCTGGAGGGCAGCAATTACACTTCTACAGTGCTTCCGCTGTAGTTGAAGTGTTTTTCGTTTCTGGATCATGACAACGTTTGCAAAGCCCATCATTCCTGCAAGTCCACACTGCGAGATACACACACTCCAAGCTCGCCCCACTCAACTGCGAAACCTGCATTCGCAAGTCTTTGTGCTAATCCCCGGAAGCCTGGAAGCAAAAATCCTCGGAGAAAGAACAGAGTTATAGGGTTCAGGGAGTCGCGCAGCCCTAATAGCACCTTGGCTCAGGCTGCTCCAGCAGCAAAGGCGGCTGCCGATGACTTCTTCGGCGACTTTAGCGATTTCCAGGTGCCTTTACGAGTTTCGGCTTAGCACTTAGCCCCGTTATGGGGTCTGGTTTGCGGACTTGTGCATCCCGAAGCCCTGAAATATCCAAGCATGCCCAAGCCCTATACTTAGACCGTATGAATCCTGAAGCCCTTGCGCCTTGTTCTAGGAGTCGGAACAAGCACCAACATCCGTAGGGAATGGGTGTGCGAAGTTGCAGGGACAGGCCGACCGGGGGAGTCGAGTGTCGCGTTTCCAGTGTCTACCTGCTTCAAAACATGCTGCAGCCTTCGCAAACTCTATTCGTGACTTTGTCAGCCTGCAACAGCAGCTTGGATTTAATGACTTCGTCTCACGGTGTGTGTTTCTGTTGATTCAAGGTTCTTCGTGCCTTGGCTTGGTCGAGACTTCACAAATCGATGCTGTTTGTGCAGTTCAAGTCCTTCTCTAAGTTGGACCAGGGTTCCAGGCTGTGATGAGAGCAGAGATAGTTCATCAGAACTTTGCTGCCTGCAACTAGGGTTCTTACTCAGGACATCTTCTGTCGAACGTGCAAACCCTGCTGCCCTGCGTCCGAAAGCGACGCATATAGTCGGCTGGCTCAATACCACAATTTTGTAAAACCAAAGCCGTACAAAGAGTCAGGCCGAAAAAGACTGTTAAAGGAGCTCCTACCTGAACCGTAGCGCGTTGTCGCCTCTTGCAGGAAGCTTGCAGTTCCTCGTTTTTGATGAGACTGGCTTTTAAGGTGAAATTCTAACCTACCTCAGTGGTCCAAGAGCTAGCTGTTCAGCTTTCGGGGTTCTTATTCGGTGGTCTTATTCTGAAAGTGAGATCTGCTCAACTCCTGGGTATTTGGGAAGTAATTAGCTGAAGCCCTTACCAAGGTAGATCCACCTGTCCCGGATTCCCCCTAAACCTTACGGCCGCCAAGCCCAAACACAGCCGTATAAGCCCCCAAACCTCAAACCCCAAGCCCCTACAGCCCCAAATCCCGACTCTTGGCAGGGCGGCGGTGCTGATCCTGGCGTGGCGGCGGTGAGCCACTGGGTGCTCGTTATGAATAAGCTTTCATTATAGGGATCTATACTACGTGGTAGGGTTTCCTGATTGTTGTGGTAACTGGCCCTAAACCCCAAACCTAAACCCTGAACCTCACACCCCAAACCCTAAATCCTAAACCCTAAACCCTAAAACCCTTACAGCCTAAAACCCCTCAAAACCCCAAACCCTAAACCCTAAAACCCTCTAACCCCTCAAAACCCCAAACCCTAAACCCTAAGTTCCTTATCAAGAGCCAAGGCAAAGGCATGGAGCAGCTGAGCTTCGGAGGCCGTGGGCTTGGTGCTGGGTCCTGGTGGGGCCTTTGGGTCTTTAAGCTCTGAAGGTTTATCTGTCTGGTGCTTAGTAGGGTTTAGGGTTTAGGGGTTTAGGGTTTAGGGTTGGGAATGGGGGAATGGATTATGGGGACTATTATTGGGGATTATATAGGGACTACAGTAGGGCGCCCTACATGCGGATGCGGCGTTTCGGGATTGCATGTTGAGCTGAGCCTTCGACGGGGCTGCAGGGATCCATTCCCCCATTCCCTACTAGGCACCAGAGAGTTATGGGAGTTTCCGAAAATGCGGGGGGGGGGGGGGGGTACCTTACTTGGGGGTCCTTATACTAAGGAACCTTCTGTTTAGGGTACTGTATTAGGGTCCCCTATTTTCGGAAACCCCCTTATGACTAGAGAGTTGAGGATCTAGAAGTTTGGCCTGTAGGGTTCATAGGGCTTTCTGAGTTTGGGTGTTTAGGTCGGTTTAAGGTTTGGGTCTTTAGGGCTTTATGGGGCTTTTACGACTCACGGTTTAGAACTTGTCGGCTTTTGGGTTTCTGGCTCTGGGGTTTATGGGGTTTCTCGTCGAAGGGTTTTCGCAATCATAGCCTGCAGCTTCCTGAGCTTCTGAGCCAACAGCACTTCCAAGGCCCTGCTGCTGCACCGGCTCCTGCGGTGGTACAGGCGCTTGGGAGATCCGGGGCGGTACTTGGAGGGTCAGGGGACTTAGTAAGTAGATAATAAGTAGACTGATAAGTACCCCAAAAGGAACCCTAATTGGGTTTGTGATACTTATAAGTCTCTAAAGAAACTACTTCCTAAGTCCCTCGACCCTCCAAGTAGAGATCTCTACGGGGATATCGGGTTCACGTCTCTGAGCAGGGCAGGGCTTATCCGTATTCCAGTCTTCCATTCATGAGGATAAAGACTTACAGCCTTTGGTGGTGCTAGGTTTCCTTGAAAGCAAGTCGTTGTTTCTATCTCTACGCATTCATGTCTCGCCTCGGGCCCTTGGAATAGTAACGCCGGCATCTTTTTCCCAAAATCTCGGGCTCGAGTTAGTTCACTACCTTTTTTTGTAGGGTCTGTGTAAAGTCATATATAGTCTACATTCGGATTTGTAAGAAGAACCACCGAAAAGCAGTTTATGGTACAGTTTAAGGGCTACCTTCAGACCAAGTCTCAATATGCAAGTAGGTGGCCCACTAGCTCCTTTTCCACAACGTGCACCGCAGAGTCGTTAGTTCGCTTGAGAACCATACCATACGATACCCTACACCCTTTTTCCATAAAGACTGTAGCTGACACAACTTGCAGGGCCCATCAAATCCGAGACCGTATCCATTCGTACAAACAGAGAGGCCCTTCTACACTGTGGATGATATACAGTAAACCCCATAAAGTTGGAAACCGGATAAAGGCCAAATAGTGCTGGGGTTCCCCTTACATTACTCTTGAGGATGGAGGCTATTGGGTTTCCAACTTTTTGGCTTCTACTGTAAATCCTGCATTACCTTAAGGACCCTAAACTAGGTGAAGTATGGTATATTTTTGATTATGGGTAATGCAGGATTTATATCATCAACCGCAGCACCATCATTTTCAGGCCCTCGATCGAAATCTATTCTTATCAAAGTCCTTCTCCGACCCTACACTCCAAAAGCCTTCAAAACGCACTTATAAGTTCCAGCCAAAAACCTTAGAAGCCTTTGTAGACGCTTTGCAAGGCCCTTAAAGAATACCTTGGACCCTATGCTTCTATCAACCCTCGCCATGCTAACCCTGAGCCCAAACACACCCCCAAAAACCGAAGCAGGCGAACAGCCCTGAAAGCTTAAACATCCTGAAGGCACTGACAAAGCCTTCGGTAAATGTAAAAAAGCCAACCTTTAATGCCGAGAGTCCGCAGCATCATCAAAACCCTCAATTCTAAACCCATTGAAACCCTAAACCCTAGAACCCTAGAGCCCTAGAACCCTGAACCCCAAAAAGACAGGCTTCGGTGCCAGATCCTTTGGGGTTCCCAGCGGCCGACCCCTTTGCAGGCGCTGGGTGTAGGCTTTTGCTCTGTTTGGGTGGCTTCAGGCCTTAGAGTTCAGGGTTCAGGTTTAGGGCTTAGGGTGTCTACCCAGAGGCTCCATAGTAGTTCCTTTTTGGGATTACCTTATAGGATTCTATATATGAACCCCACAAAGGAACTACTAAGGAGCCCTAGGGTAAGGCTCAGGGTTTGGAGTCTAGGTTTCAGGTCAAGGGCTTAGGGTGGGTTGGGAGCGTAGGGTTAAGGTTCAAGGGCTTCGGGTGTCTAAGGATCCGGGTTTGGAGTTTCGGGCCTAGGGTGTCTAAGGATCAGGGTTTCGAGTTCAGGGATAAGGTTTAGGGCTTAGGGCGTCTAAGGATCAGGCTTTCGAGTTCAGGGTTAAGGTTTGGGGTTTAGGTTGTTTAAGGATCAGGGTTGCGAGTTTAGGGTTCAGGTTTAGGGCTTAGGGTGTCGAAGGATCAGGGTTTCAGCTTAGGGCTTAAGGCGTCTAAGGATTAGGGCCTTGGCTCACTCAGCACACTGCCAACAAAGCCTCTCTGTGCTGAGTGCAAGTTTGATGTGCAAACCTGTTCGGGTTGAACTGCAGCTGGGGCTCTAAGGGAAGGTTGATGACAGCATCTATTGATGCTGTCAGAGTATTTGGGACACTTGATATTGAATTATTGTTGAAAAACCGACTAGAAACTACTTGCCTCAGCTGTCAGAGCTGGATGAAACATAGAGACTTAAGGATGTCACCCCTGTCAGATCGGGCCCTTGGATTCTGTTGGCTTGCATTGCGTCGAAGATTGTGTGGTCTCATGCACGAGCAGATAGGTCGACGATTGCTGTTGGGCTGAGATCTGTAGGCAGTGTAGTGCTTCTGTTGAATATCGCATGAGGATCTCATGCAAATCATGCCTCCTACCCGCCCACCAACGCCGGCAGCCGCTGTTGCCGATAGGATCATCAGGTTCCATCGCATTTTTGTTGCGACACGTTTCGTGTGTTCCCAAGACACGGAACTGCCGGAATGGCAATCGCTCCCTGACCATCTTTGGTTTACTAGGGAAGTGCTGCAACAGGCGAGAGCCGGAGAAACAATGCCTAGAAATTTGTGAGAACGAACTTCTTCGGGGAGGCGCTGCGCTTCAGCATCCCATGCCACGCATTGGAGCCGGCAGCACTCTGTGAGCCCCAATGCGCCCGACATTTCCATTGCGCAGGGTGGTGATGTCCTTTGCGGGATCGGCGCCACGAGCTTGCCACATCATCGTCCGAGTGCCGGCAAGACATGAGCACATGACTCTTGCAAACAAACGAGACGGGAGTTTGCAACTGCTGTGCCAGCAAGCCCGTTCAGCATGTCAAATTTTGTTGCCAGATTGCATGCTAGAGCGACACGGTGTCTGTGACTTGACGCAGTCTCACGTGTTGTCATGAAGTTGCTTGCTTCCTTTGCCGTGCTCATTATCTGTTCCGTGCGGCCAAGAAGGGCACACACAGAGTGTCACGATAGCGCCCTTTTTAGCGCAACAGCTACATGCAAACAGAGTGTCTGCCAGCTTTTCAGCTGGACTTGCTGGAGAATACATCCGAACCTTTCGTGCCCTTGAAATTCACGGCCGACGAAGATGATCGGGGATTTCAGACACGGAAAGGCAGTTGGAGCCCAAGATCTGAGAAGTGCCCAGTTGATTTGTAGTGCGAAGGTGTTTCGCCTATCACGCAGCCGTGCAGCTCAGCCAGGGATTCAAACATGCTGCCCGCGCAGCGGTTGGTTTCCAGAAGGCCGAGCCACGCCATGCCCAAATCGGCCGCTGCAAGATGCATGAAAGGTTCTGTGGCATGTGCTGCAGTCCACCCTGTGATGCGCACGGTCGTCCAAGAAGGTTCGGAGGGAGGACAAGGCCAGCACAAGCAAATGGAAAAAAACAAGGTTAAGAGTTTAAGGTTTAGGGCTTAAGGTGTCTAAGGATGCAGGGTTTAGAGTTCGGGGTTAAATGGTTTAGCGCTTAGGGTGTCCAAGGATCAGGGCTTCGAGTTTCGGGTTAACGTTTAGGGCTCATGGTGTCTAGGGATCAGGGTTTTGAATTTAGGGTCAAGGCATAGGGCTTAGGGTGTCTCAGGATCAGGGTGTTAAGTTTAGGGTCTAGGTTTCTTAGGTTTGGAGCTTACAGGTAGGTATTTGGGTTGAAGTCTCATTATGTGGTTTAGGTTTTGAGTTTGGGTGGCTATCTTGGTCTGGAGAGACTTTTTCCACACTGTTCTTCAGCCGTATGTGGTTTGGGCTTGCTGTTTTACAGGCACCTTTTGAGTTTCGGGCTTAGATTCTCGGGCTCCACTGAAAGCTGACTACAGATCCTTAGCTTTTCCTTTAGATGCACAACCCCAAAGGTCCTCAGAACCTGATTACATACTTTATGGCTCGCGAAGGTATCACCACAGAACAGCACCTAGCCCCTTGGGGTACAAATTCCAAGGACCCACGAGATAAGAGTACATCGCCGTTTAAGAGCTGAGGGTCTCGGGTTTGGGGTTAGGGTTTTGGGCTTCGGTATTTTAAGGTTTGAAGCTTTTCTTTGTAGTCAACGGTCTTCGACGAGATACCCCCCAGGGACCTCTAACTCTGTAATAGTAAAACGCGCGACATCACGGTGCAGGAATGTCTTCGCGCTTGATGCCAGGGATTGTGTTTTACATACTTTGGACCCAATCTCGTCACACGGACTGGCTTACTGCCGCTGCGGTTTCTTGCCTCGCCCGGGCAGGTCCGGTTTCGGCTGCACCCGCAGCGAGCTAAGTTGTTTCTTTCCGAGTTTGTCGGGTCGTTTCTTCTGTGTAGCAGCGTAGGGGTGCCCCTTAGTTACATAGTGTTTCAATCTTCCTTGACGTCTTCAGACGATCTCTTCCTAATCACCCCTATATTAGCCGTATGCATTGCGAGATGTCTTGCTCATCATATTTTCGACTGGGGTTGGCCATCGAGGTTTCTACTACAATATTCAGGTCCTGCCATACAAGGTGCAAGTCATGTAGCAAACTGATCTAATCGTCGAAAACCCTAAACCCTGGAATCATTAGACCCTTGTGGAGCCTGTGGAACCTCTTTATTGGATTCCTTTATGGCAGGTATCCCTTGTTGCCGATCTTGGCAAAGGAGTCGCGACGCTCAAACTCAAACGCTTAAAACCCTGAACCCTCAGCAATCCCGAAGCCTTGAAACCTTACCCCGCCCTGCAAGCCTACACCGCAAACCCTACACCTTCCTGAAGACCTGGACCGAAACCCTGAAACCCTAAACACCCTCAAGCCTAAACCTTAAAACTTAAACCCTACTCCGACAAAAGGGCTGCTGTTTCCGAGGCACAACGGCCTGCAGCTGCCGTAGCAGATCCTTTTGGAGGACCCGGGACCTAGGAAGTCCTGCTGAGCCCCAGGATCCTGTAAGCAGATGTTGGTTAGCATTTCTTACAGCACGTGGTGGCTCTCCGATGAGGAGTAGTGACTTGTTGGAGTTTTCATTCCAAGCTCCCTCTAGGGTACAAACAGCTTTAGTTCAAGTTCGTCGATGCGAATTCCTACGCGAACGGAGCCTTCCTGGGCATATTCCAAGTAGCACTTTTCTGGACGGACACAGTTCTGTTGATCGGCTCCCCGGAGGTTTGTGCTCCTGCACTGTGAAGCGGCTCCCATGTTCTGCAGCTGCGAGTTTAGTCCCAGGACCACCGCAGTCGTCCAGCCAGGCACGCATAGATCTGTTTCAGGGAATCTGGCCTTCGGAATCTCTTTCACAGGACTTGATGGTGCTTCTCTGACTGCAATATTGTATCATCTAGTATGGTCTAGCGTAGTGTAAAATATTGTAGTATACTATATGCTATGATATTGGTCGTTACACTATGCTGTATTATGTTGTGTTTTACCAGTGTTTTCGATAAAATGACAGACCGGATTTGCAGGAGTGCGCCGTAGCTTGGAATCAGTGTGCATGCTCGGTGTGTTGGCAAGAGGTCTCAAACATAGAACTTTCAACGCCAAGACCTCCGGACCAGTAGAAGTAGCCGGTAACACGCAACAAAGACGAAGACATATACTCTGACATATAATAAGTAAAACCTACTTGAACCTCACACCATCACCTCGGAGCTGCTCCCCACGCCGTGGCTACCAAAATGCCTCAAGGGTGGCAGGAAGGAGCTTACCTGTCAGTCTCCATTGTGGTTCCTTTTCTTGGTTTGGTTTAGGCAACTATATGTTTGGGATCCTATCAACACAACCCCCGAAGCAACTACAACGAAAACTATACTCCAGGGCTCCAGTTGCCTAAATAGTAGGTTACTGGGATGTATAATGTAATTTGTATATATATATATATGTATATATATATATATATATATATACATATATATATATATGTATATATATATATATACATATATATATATATATATATATATATGGTTAGTAACCTACCATTTAGGTACCTGGAGACCCAAGGATAGACAGAACCCAAAGCTGAAAGCTTACCCCAGGCCAGCCGGCAGGGCATGGCACAGGCGCCTTTCGCAGGCCCTGGGGGATGTTTTTTTTAATGTTTTATATTAAGTTATAGTATCTTGCATCTTGTATTTTAGCGTAATGGCTATGCTTTCCATGTTTTCCGAGATGTTGGGGCCAGAGCCCTAAACCCCCATGCGAGTGTCCACTGTCGTTTGGCGCTGACTAGGGGCTTGGGGCCCTTTCACGGACAATCTTGTATGCAGCTACGTGAATGCGTATGGTTACGAAATTATGCGTCACTGCCAGCTGAGGGTTGAGGCATGGTGGGTCAGGGGCTTGTGCATGGATGAATGTACAAAACTTTCCGCTGCATGAGAGCATGTACAAGCCTGCAGGTATGTTTCAACAGACATGGATGCGGGGATGTGTGCTGGGACCCTCCTGACCTGCCCTGCCGTGGTTCTCTTGCAAGTGAAACCCCGAAGCAGGATCCTTCTGCTTCAAAAGCAGCAGCCAGCCAAAAAGAAAAAAAGCTGAAGCAGCTTATTCTCGACATCCAAATCATAAGCCCTACAAGCCCCCAGGTCCCTCAGTCTCAAAACCTGAACTCTTGCATCCCAACTCTCAAAGATTTGTCAGTTCCCCTAAACCCTAAACCCTGCCCAGGACCGCCTGCGTCGGTGCCGGCCCGGGCACAGGGGATTTTGGGGCGGGATTGGTGCGTTTTAGGATGGCAGAGTTTTCCCGGGCTTTGGGGGGTTTTATAGGGTTTGAGAAGTTTGCAAGGTTAACTGTTGATTTGCATTCTGTGTACACCTCTTGCCTCGTGCTTCTCGATAGGTTATTTTTTTCGAGGCAGGGTCTTTCAAAAACATACAGTGGCCTCCAAAATGTTACAGTTTTTTTTTGGGTGGGGTCCTCATTGTAATTATGGTGTAGATATACCACAGAGCCCTTTTCTACATTACGTACTTGTCAAGATCCTTTGGACAGCTGTCGAAAACGAGCTCTGAACCCTTAGCTCGAGCTCACAACGTCAAGGTTGCAAAGCATGGTCTGTGTACACAGACTCTTTGTCTTTCGACGCACCCCCGCATCATCCTGCACCGCTTCAGCTCTCTTTGCCTGTAAGCTCCATCAGACTTTGCAGTTCTGCTGATATAGCAATCCCTGAGGCTCCATGTACTTATATACTACATATTTGCACGTTTAATAGACTACACATACATTTATATAGGGACCCCCTTCTGAGGCCTAAGTTTATGCTTTATAGGCAAAGTTGAGCCTCAGGGATTGCAGATCCAATGAACACCAACCCCAAAAGTTCGAAAATCTTCGTCCCGTTGGGCAGGCACCTGACCCCTTCGGAGGCGTGGTCAGGGATTTGGGGTTTCGGGCAGGCGTGGTCAGGGGGTTTAGGGTTTTGGGTTAAAGCAGTCTATAAGCTTTAAGGTTTATAGGGTTTAAGATTTTGGGACTATACCCAGACCCTACGAAACCTTTCTTGTTTCATTTCCGCGTGTGCGTCCTGAAACAGGTAGGTTATTTGGGGTTTAGGTAGGAGTTTAGTTGATGTGTGGTCAGGGATTTGTTCGGTTGGGGTTTTGGACTTTGCAGCTTACTCAGGCTTATGCAAGCGAGGCCTGTATTTTTCGCAACCTGTACTGCCGGCCACCGCTTCGGACAGGCAGTGTGCTTCGAGGGATGTGCAATTTAGTCTGTCGGTTTTGAAAAGGTTGCCGTAGACTAGAATGCATCCTCGGGACTACAAGCCCTATGAACTGTACGCACCCTACAAGCCTGAAGCCCTATAGCCCGAAACCCAAAGCCCTACAGACACTGTAAGATCTAAAACCCTAACACAACAAATCCTGCATGGCGTATATCATATACGCTTTAAACGCTCGGAAAACCGACTACCAAAACCCCTGAGCCCCATTGTAAACTCTAATTACACCCCAAACTCTGTCGAATCATAAACCTTGAAGCCCTGAGCTTGTTCTATACTACAGGGGCCTGAATAGTTAGAGTAGGTTTTGGGGCCCACTATACCGTAATTATAATAAGGAGCCCCAAAATAGAACCCAAAATAGTATAGGTGATGATGTAGGCCGCTATATTACTCCCCCTATAACAAGCCTTATAGTAGCCCTTATATACCCCTTTTACAGGAACCCCTAAAAGGACCCTTAAAAGGAAGGCTCGTATCGGCCGGCAGGCTTCGGAGGTTTCGCATCTGCTGCGCCGGCGCCCTCCAAGGCGATAGGGCACCCTGTCCCAAAGGCTCCATGTACTTGGAGGGTCGGGGGACTTAGTAACTAGTTATTTTGTAAACTTATAAGTATCCTAACCCCAATTAGGGTCCCTTTTAGGGTACTTATAAGTCTACTTACTACCCACTTACTAAGTCCCCCGACCCTCCAAGTACCCTTATAGTAGATACTTAGGCCTTAAAGGGGTCTCTATATAGGTACTTTAAGGCCTAAGTATATACTATATGGGTACATGGAGCCTTAGGGTGTGTTGTTTGCCCATAAGGGTCCTTATGCCCGTTGTCAAAATTAGGGTCCCTTTTTGGGTACTCTAAGTATAAGGTGCCGTATTGTATTAGGGACCCAAAATGGACCCTAATTTTGACAACCACCCATATATATATATATATATATATAATTGTAGATACTTGTAGAGGGACTGCTTGAAGGCCCGTGCTATATGAGCACATGGACCCTTAGAGTTGTGGAGTCGGACATCCTGGTGAATTTTCTTAATGATAGGAGATTGGTCTGTCCAACTCACTTGCATGACATGATAGGTGGTTTGGCCGCCGATGAGCTTGTCGCAAGAGAATGTGCCCAAACTCTAAACCCTAAACCCCTAAGCCCTAAACTGTTTCCTCTGAGAAGGGCGCTTGCTTAGCGCCCTGCAAACGGTTCGCCCAGGAGGCTGAATCGGACTGAGCTGTGACCTCCTTTAAAACCATGCAGTGAAAAGCTTCTAAGGGAACTTCTCATGACTGATACACCCCTTGAAATTTCGATGAAAGAAGCTTGAATAACCAGCAACACTCTGGAGAGTTCCGCAATTTTACTATACCAGAATGTACCCCAACACTCTAATAAATCTTAAGGAGCCTGTAATATTGTAACAGATATTACCACAAGCTCTGGAAGTCACATGCGGCCGTCAAGAGTCTGGCACAGACTCTATAAGCACCAGTACCCTTTTGCCCTTTGTATTTTGGGGTCCCCTTATTTAGACCGAATAGTATGGAAAAGGGTGCCGTTATTGCAAAGGGGCTACTCAGGAACCTAAACACAAGCCTGTGAAGTATGCAACGAAGCCATGCAGAGCTGCATCGGAAGGCGACCCCGCCAGCCGCCGCCAGGCTTGGGGAAAGGCTAAAGGGTACTGTCGGGCTTATATAATTCCGGTTTAGGGTACTTAGGGTTTTGGAGGGGGGGTTCAGTTCCGGAGTGCTTTTTTCCTTGGGTCTCGGGCTAGGAGGCCCATAATCCTTGAAGGCTCTCAGCTTCTCTTTAGCTCAGGTCAGAGCAAGGTTGAGGTTGCAATCGTGTCCAGGGCAATCGGTTGATGATCTGAAGAAATCCACTTTAGGGTTTTAGGGTTTTAGGGCTTAGGGTTTGAGCTTCATAGTTGAATTTGCGAAACAGGTGAAGGGTTGTCGGTTGTCGGGCATGCTGCCTTCGGACGTCCTTGATTGGCATGTGTCAGAGACACTTGTGAAGCGTAGTATCAATCAATCCAGCGTCGCATGCTTGGAAGTCATGTTGAGAGGTTCCTACAGTGTGTGTGTGTGTGTGTGCCAGGTCAACATTTTGCAAAGGGGTTCCGCTGCGGGCTCTGATGCCTCTACATAAACGTCCAAGAGCTGGAGAACCAATAACCTCAATCCTCAAGTATAATGTATAGGGAATCCCAAGTTTTAACTGTCCTAAATCTGGCTTCCAAAGTTTTGGGTATACTATAGGTACTTGGTAGCAGCTGGTAGCAGAGCTACCCTAGACCCCTAAATCCCTAAACCCTAAACCCTTTACTATACATAGGTGCTTGGTAATGTAGGGGCCTTAATAATTGGAATAGGGTTTCGGGGTATTATAACTATAGCATAGTATACCCCCAAACCCAATCCAATTATTAAGGCCCTTGCATTAGCAAATCTGTCAGGCCAACGCAGCGGAGCAGCGATCCCTTTGACGGCCTTGACATCTTCAAGTGACCGGCTGCTGCTTTCTCGGTTTCGAGGCCCGGATCCTGGGCCTAAACCCTAAACCCTAAAGCCTAAACCCTAAAGCCTATAACCCTAAACCCTGGTGAGGGTTCTCTGGTTTTGGGCTTCAAGAGTGCCAGGGCTTCTAGACGAGGGGTTGAGGCTAGATCCTGGGGTTTAGGGCTTCTAGGGTGTCTAGGGCTTCTAGTCTAGGGTATAGGGATTCCAGGGATTGTAGGGCTTCTAATGTGTAGAAGTTTATCAGCTGTAGGCTTGAGGGTTTTTAGATTGGGTACCGTCAAACATACCAACGTACCACCGAAGAGAAGTACAAATGAGATTTGATACTCCCCAAAAAGCGGGTTTGGGGTTTGAGGTTTAGGGTTTAACGTTTATAGGCTATAGAGCTTAGAGCTACGAGGCACCTGGTTTGTGCGCTTTCGTGATCTTTCCGGGTATTCATGGCCGAAGCGCAACACAGGAGGGCCCAGTAGAATGCAGAAGATCCCTGCAGAAATCATACACAGCATACTTTGTCACCGGGATGATCTTCGAGTTGAGTGTGCCGAGAGGCGAATGATTCTCTGAGTAGTTTAGTCGAACTTTGGGTATGCCAACAAGCTACGTGTCATCAATTGGTTTCGGCACTATATTATATGCCAAGCTCTGTAACCTCAAACCCTACGTAAACTGAAACACTCGGTGAGCTTCCAAGCCAAAACCGAAGCAACGAACACGTCAGCCCGGTACGTCATCTGTGTGCGATTTGTATGGAGCCGGCCATGCTGCTGCTGCTTTTGCAGCTTTTTGGTTCTGGAGTACTTCTACCATTTTTTTAAATCTGTTTAGGGTTTAGGGTTGTTTCCTGATTTGAGCCGATATGAAGTAAACGTTCGTTGTTCTTTCCTCCTGGGTTGCTTCAAAGCCCAGGTTAGTACTGGCAAAGGCGTGCCCAGGCAATCTGAGCGGCACGTGCCTGAGTTTTTCACATGATTGCTGGACTTTGGGGCCTCCCTTGGAACCATGCACTTGCCAACACGGCTTTTCGCCCGAAGCCACCGCCTACTACGAGCTTGACTTCATGGGTGCATTCCATTACCAATGCTGTCCCAGTGCTGGCACTGCTGCGGTGGGTTGCGAACTGCCAAGACGCCATCAGCAGCAAGTGCAAATTCTGTTGGTCACAGGTCTGGGTCATAGTTGGGCAACATTTTTTCCATAATTTCTGGGTACTTAAACCGAACAGGGAGCAGCAAATTGAAATGATATATTTTAACAACTATCCGAACCACGAGCCAGAGGTATTGTTCTCTTCTGCGCGGGTACGATTGGAATCCTGATCAGCATGGCCCCGCGTATTCCCAGGAAGCCTTTGTCAATGAAACCAGGAGACGCGAAGCTTCTCTCACCTGCGCGACAAGGCTAGGTTGCCCAGCAGTATTGTAGGGGCCGTAATAATTAGAATAGGGTTTTGGGCCACTGTATAGTATATGTATAACAAGGAACCCTAACAACAATATTGGTACTCATTTAGGCTTCTACATTACCCCCCCGCCCTTTGACTGTTGCGCCCCTTATCAAAACGGAGTACGCAGTGGCAAAAGGGTACCCTTTTTTAAAGAGGCTCTATAAGGATACCCTTATTAATTAAGGCTCTTGGGCGATCATAGAAGGAGATGGTGCCGCAATGCACCAGGGCGTGCCGATGCACATGTGGTGTGTGACTCTGGAAGATCTTCGCCAGTTCCGTCGACTCGTCATGCATGCAGTGGCCCAGGGAGAGATACGCCCACACGCAAGGGACATGTTCGACAGTTCTGATTTGAGTATTGGACCTTCAGTTTACACAGTCACTGATCAATTCATCAAGCCCGTGACCGCGCTTGCAGGCGGGATGAGCTGGGCCTTGCTAAAGAATCCAACCGGTGTGGACTGTCATGTGTTTATGACACACTGCTGGGCCGAGGGGATTTATGAGTTCATTGACAGGGCGGAGTATTCTTGGCCCGCAGGCGCAGAGGCTGCATATGTCTGCTTCTTGTCCAACCCGCAAAACTTGGACATCTCCAGTTTGATCGCAAGCCCAAGTAGCTCACCGTTTGCCTTAGCACTGCGCTCAGCATCTACGATGCTTGTCCTCCCAAACGCGACGGTGAGCATTTATACGCGGCTCTGGTGTGTCTACGAAGCTTTCCTCGCTTACACACAGGGGAAGGTCATCAAAACAGCTGCTCTGGGTCATGATAGGCTTCGACTCAAGGTTCTTCGGGCAATGTCGCTCTTTATCTTGGGTGCAGGCGGACTCTGGACGATGTGGCTTTTGAGTGGAAGCTCTTGGTTAATGCAGTACAAGCTCTTCATCTTGGCCCCCGTGGGTGTTGCAACTGCATTGGTTGGGATTTTTGCGCAGAAATTCTTTCTGTGTTGGCCAGTCGCCCTGCAGGAAACGGCACTTGCCACAGTCGTGATTTGCGTTGCTATGTTCTACACCGAAGTCGCGACGACTAAATTTCTTTATGCAGCAAACCGCTTTGTGGCAGCCTGGACCTTGCTAGAATGGTTGTTTTACCTGATCTTGTCTGGAGTGTTCGCAGCGGATTGGGCGCGGCTCAAAGATACGCGACGGCGTTCCGAAATGCTCCGGAACAAGTTTAGTGGCAGATTACTGGAAGCCCAATGTTCGTCTGATGCAGACAGAGCCAGCATCCATCACGAGCTGTTTGAGAGTGGCAACTTGCACCAGGTGGAAGTCGCTGTCACTGGGTCCGTGTTAAGGACCTCAATGTAAGTTACCATAGTCAGGAAGCAGTTTGTATTACTATAGATCCCCAGTGTGGTAACTTAAACTGAGTTCCTCAACAGTTCCCAGGTCAACGCTCTTCTGCGCGTGAACTTCCTCACGCCAGAGCTCATAAAAGCTGCTGATCTTGTCGGAGAGATCGGGGACAGCTCGACCTGCCCTCAAGCAACTCGGTTCTTGTTCGGGATCTTGGTTTTATGTTACCATGAAAATGATAGGGATCTGTAGTACATAATACCCTATCATGGTAAGTACGTTCTGTTCCTGGCAAGAACCCAGGCATTTCCTCTGTTGGCATTAAACTTCTGGCTCGTGGCTTCCATCGACGCAGTGTTTTTCTTCAGTTTTCCACAGTTCGAAGGTCGTCTTCTCGAACAGATTTGTCTCGTCATCATGTCGATAGAGGCAGCCTGCTGGATGGTGCTGTTCATGTGTTCGCCTCCCGAACGGCGCATCTTTGCCGTCTATCCACTTCAACTGTGGATTTTGTGTTATTGCATCGCTGCCGGGCTGCAGTATGTTGCCGACTGGCCCGTGGCACATGAGGTGTGGATGTTGTATCCAAAGATTGGAGCTTTCTGTTTGGGCCCGTTCTGCCTGTTCATGCTGATCGCTGGGCCCATCCGCGTGGCTCGTGTTCCTCTAGTTGGGCACATGCTAGTTCGAAGAGCACTTCGGGGGCACTGTTGCTCCCGGAGATCTCTGAAAACACCTGAGAGTGATTCGTCGCAAGGCACGGCCAAGCCGTGCCGAAGCACTTCCACAGTCTCGATTTAGCTCTCACCGCAACCCTAAACCCTGGAACCCCAAACCCTAAACCTTTGTGGGAGTTTCCGAAAATCGGGGACCCTAATATAGTACCCTAAATAGTAGGATCCTTATTATAAGGACCCCAAAATACGGTACCCCTAATTTTCGGAAACTCGGAAACTCGTAAGCCCCTATATAAACCCTAAATCCCTGAACCCCTAAACCCTAAACCACAAAAACCCTTAAAACGCTCAGCCACTCCGGACTCTGGAGGGCTGATACTGAGATCCGAGCCCCAAGGCACAAGGATCCCGCTCGAACAGCCGAAAGGAGAACAACCAAAAGGAGCTTAGCCATGGGCTGCTTTTGAAGGCCGAAAGCCGCGAGCTCAAGACAGTTTAGAGTTCAGGGTTTAGGGTTTAGGGTTTAGGGGTTTAGGGTGTAGGGTTTAGGGGTTTAGGGTGTAGGGTTTAGGGGTTTAGGGTGTAGGGTTTAGGGGTTTAGGGTGTAAGGTTTAGGGGTTTAGGGTGTAGGGTTTAGGGGTTTAGGGTGTAGGGTTTAGGGGTTTAGGGTTGCAAGCTTGAAGCTTGTTGTGCCTCACACGCGTCTGGTTGAAGCACCTTTGATGGCCAAGCTAGACAGCAGGAAAAGGCCCGAGTAGCTGTGCTGTGCCACCGGCTGCATTCCGCTTGCATGGTAGCGGAGCCGGTTGAGATTGGAGAATCTTGACCGGTTCCTTTGTGCCTTTGGGATACAAAGCTAACTGTCGTGTGTGTGTGGGAACAGCGAGTTCCTGAGAGCCCAAGAAGATGACAGAACTGCGCTACAACAAAGACGGCATTCCCATCTATGATGGGTCCCCTGAGTTATTTGTTCCGTACAGACGTGCTGCCCTTGTTTATGCCGAGACCGTGGAGTGGAAGAAGAGATGTTTGGTTGGGCCACGGCTACAGGCGGCGCTCGAAGGAAGCGCCAAGTTAGCCGTGGAGCACATGGCTCCGGGCTGGGTTTCTCACGATCAAGGTGCTTCGCAGCTCCTCGACTACTTGAAGAAGCAGGTGAGATCGCCCACGCTGGCGGAGTCAGGAAGGACCATGTCTCGTTTCTTCTACGGCATAAAGCGCAGACGTGGAGAAGGAATGGCGGCTTGGATAGTTCGCCACGACGAGGCGCTTCTGGAAGCAAAGAGGACTCTGGCGGAGGCTATTCAAGAATATGGCCCCGCGGGAGACCGTGCAGGACTTCCCCGCTCGTGGTCAAGGCGGACCCCGAGCAGGTCAGCATCCAGGCGAGGAACTTCCGAGGCAGGGGACCAGGCGAATGATGACGACGAGAATGTCGAAGAGCCGGACACACCAGCTACAGGCGAGGATCACGAAGAGGCCGAGGACCGGGAGTCACAACAGGAGTGGCCAGGATGGTGGAGCAACTCCTGGTGGCACCAGGACACCTATGAGCCCTGGTCGTGGCATGGCTCCTCACGTCAAGGAGCCGCAAGCCACGCGACGTGGGACGCGTCAGAAGCCGCGTCAGCTCAGGCAGATCGGTTCTTGCCTGACTTCGTGATCGCATGGCTTCTACTGCAGAGATCGGGTTTGGACTCCACGGAGAAGGCAGTGATAGTGGCGAACCTCAAGAATCGGTTCACAACGGCGAAGGTCAAGGAGGCCTTGAAGTTGACATGGCCTGATGATGAACTGAAGAAGAGAGACGGGTCACGACATGCCGCGATGTTCTCCATGGAGGAAGCAGCTATGTTAGCAGAGGATGACGAGCCCGAGACCTACGAGTCCATCGAGTGGGAGACTGAGGAGGACTCCTACGCGTACCAGGCCTTGGAGGACGATGCTCAAGAGGCCTATGCTGCAGTCCAAGAAGCCAAACGGACCTTGAAGGACGCGCGAGAACGTCAAGCTCAGATGAGAAGGAACAGGAACTTCTATCCTTCCGGAAAGGGAGGAAAGGGTTTCGGAAAAGGCGGCACCGGGCCGCCAATCAAGTGCTACAAGTGCGGCGGACCTCACAAACGACAAGACTGTCCAGAGCTGAAGAACAACGACTCAGAGACACGTGTCAACTTCGTGTTTTCTGCGGACTGCATTGCCAAGGAGCGGGGAGCTGCGGAGCCAGATGGCATTCCCGATGTAGTCCTGGCAGCTGGCCAGTCTGATGAGGTCTCCTATGTGGCACTACAGCAAGTGATAGCAGAGGGAAAGGCGATCATTGACGGCGGTGCAACAAGCAGCCTTGGGTCTGAAGAGGCCTTAGAGGCTATTGCAAACTTGAACTGGAGAAAGACCCAGAAGGACAACATAGAGATTGTTCCTGGAGAGGCCCCTGCATTCAGGTTTGGCAACAATGGACGCCGAGATTGTGTGGGCACTGCAATGTTGAGCCTTCCCCTCGATGGCCAGACAGGAAAGATGCAGATTCACCTTCACGACATCCCAGGGCAACCTGTTTTGATGAGCGTGAAGAGCCTCAAGTCGCTTGGGGCTGTGATCGATTTTGGTCGGAATGAGGCTATCTTTAGGGCTATAAATCCGAGCCTCGTTGCGAAACTGGAGACCACAGAGAGTGGCCACCAGCTCTTTCCACTCGTGAGTGATGTCTATGAGGGCGCCAAACGTCGGAGTCACCCTTTTTCGTCTCTTGGGGATTCCGAGTAGGGACAGCACCTTCTGGTGGCACCATGCGCCATTGATCACCAGAAGGACCATGAAAAGTCAGGCGCTCCTCAGGAAGTGTACAGTAAGGATTCAACAAGTCACATTGGGGGTAGTCAAGATGTGTTATGGGCTACTAGTGACGACCAGAAGACTATGGAGCAAGACAGTGATCCTAGGACCCAATCTTCTCAGGACTTTAGAGAACGTGGTGAGCGTAGGAAACTTCAGGCCCAGAAGGCTCAGCATGAAAGCGAAGCTATGCAACTCATCAGGTCCCAGGCTCCTCTAGGCCAACTTGTCAAGTTTGTGAGCAGGGTTCCGTGGCACCTTTTTCAACCCGACACTAGCAGTCGAAGCCCCTCAGAACACCGTGCAGGAGACCTTCCACCAGCCTATGTGATCTTTGGAACATTCGTCCATGGAGGAATCGTAGGAGTGACCAACAACACTAGAGCCTATCCCTGGATCTCAAGAGTGCTGAGTCAGATCATGAGGTACGAGGACCCCAACATGTGCATCACTTCCATTTGTGTGTCGTGCAATGTCCTTAGTCCACTTCACCGTGACAGCTATAACATCCCAGGATCTTACAACAAGATTGTCCCAATCATGAAGCCACATCAAGGGGGAGAAGTTTGGGCTGAAGAGGGATTGGGCAGGTTTACGGGGACTAAGGTGACTCAGGACTGTGGAGGGGCTCAGGTTGAAGGCAGGATGTTTTCACTTCATAGAAAGGTCTCCCTGAATCCCCAAAAATGGCATGGGACCATGCCTTGGCAGGGGAATAGGATGGTTCTGATAGGGTACTCCTTGAAGGGTTTCGTGAAGCTTAAGACGCATGAGGTGCAGGCCCTGAAACGTAGAGGTTTCCAACTTCCTCGAAGAACGTTGTATCTGACTAGACAGTCTAGGCTCAGAGAACCGAGTGGAACCCCTGAACCGCTCAGTGATCCCCACCTCCGTAGTGTACCTCGCAATGACCTACAAAGCCACCAAGAGCGATCTTCAGAAGAAGCTTGCTTCCTACGGAGAGACACCACCCACGGGGTGGACCAAGATCCAGCTGACATCTCGACTGAACGAGCTCCTGGAAGACCAGGAGCACATCATGACGGAGCGCGAGGCAGCCAAGTTGGTGAACAAGTGCAAGACCAAGCAGGCTGTAATGGAGATGCTCGAGGAGTACGCGCTGGACTACGACAAGAAGCAGAACTCGGACCAACTCCGAAGCAAGATGCTGCGCCACCTGATGGAGAATCTGGTGCCTTCCACAGAAGCGAACTTCATGGGCTTTGGGAAGCACTCCCAGGCCACGTACGGACAGGTGCTGGCGACTCTGCCGAGTTACAGCGAGTGGTGCATCAAGACCGAGTCGGAGGAGCCAGAGTGCCACTGGCGTCTGAGGAGGTATGCAAGATGGGCCAAGAATCTCAGTGCCACTCAGAAGCAACAGGTGACAAGGGGACTGGAGGCGGCAGAAAGACCGTCCAGTTCCAGTTACCAGAGGACCAGGATGGGGACTCCATCGACAGGGTCCACAGCGGAGTGGGAGATGACGGGCGACATGGAGATGATCCCGGTCGAGAACTCGACCCAGGACGAGCGGATCGGGGAGTTGGAGCAGGAGGTGAAGGAGTTAAAGGAGCTCCTCAAGATGTCGCTGAAGCTTCAAGCGGAGAAGGAGGAAAACAGCGGCTACAAGACGTCGGCCAAGGAGACCTAGGACCTCAGTTCTCCCATTCCACGTGTGAGACAGATGATTCAGCTGAGGGTGATTTGCTTCCCGGGGACATAAGACAGCTTCCTTTCCGAGTTGCCAAGGACCTTGCAAGTAGCTATGAAGCGTCCATGCTTGCCTCGTTTGACAATCTGGGAAGTAGCAAAGTGAAGATAGTGGAGGTGAGTAGCTCTGAGATTTCTGTGCTAGGTACCGAGATTGAGAAGGTGTTTGGAAAGGGATCTGTGGTTCGGCTTTCTCCATGGAACGGTGGAGATCTGGAGACCTCCGAAGGGGTGAAGTATGTGAAGAGGGTTATGCAGGAGGTGAAACCTAGGTTAGTCTGGGTCAGCCTTGAGGCCTCCGCGTATTCTCCTTTACAGCGACTTAATCAAAGGTCCCCAGAGCAGGTCCTCAGACTCCAGGCCAAGCGAGATGTAGCCAATCGTCAGTATGAGGGAGTGGCAGAGATCCTCCAGGCAGCTGCGTCAGCGGGACACACGTGTGTTCTTGAGGCACCAGAACATTCTGGAATCCTCAATCAGACTTGGTACCAAGAGCTGTGTAAGAGGCTGGACATGTATGAGGGTCTGAGTCAGGGGTGTCAGTATAATCTTCGGGACTACCAAGGTGGATTGATGTGCCAAGGCTGGCATCTTGCAAGCACAGACGGCTCGCTGATTCAAACAATGTCTCTGTCATGTGATGGGAAACATGCTAAGGGTCGGGGAGTAGGATGGAATCAGTGGAAGGGTTTTGGAAAAACGAAGGAGTTCTGTAGAAGGGTTGCGAGATATGTTGAACGACTTGATACTTGGTTTCAGGTTGCTCGTTCTGTTCAAGAGACACCAGAGGCATGTTTCGCAGCGGATCAGGCATCAGGGACTGAGCTCAGTCCAGATGACCCCGAGGGACTTCAAGACATTCCGTCGGCTGAGCGGAAGCGCATTTTCCAGAACATCCGCAGGATTCACACGGCCACAGGACACTGTAGCAATCAGTACTTGAAGGCTAGCTTAAAGAAGAGAGGGGCTAGTAAGGACGTGTTACGCTGTGTTGATCATTTCAAATGCGAAGTTTGCGCTGAACGAACCCGTCCCGATCCTCGTAGTCCGTCCACCTTGAGTGAGATTGTTCCAAAGTGGCACACCCTTCAATGCGATGCTTTCTCCTGGAACCATCCTGAAACTGGTGAGAAGTGGCAGTTTATGATGGGGATTGATGAGGGCTGCAGGTTGAGGGTTGGAAGGTTGTTGTTTCAGCATGCCAGCAGAACCCCTAGCGCCCAGGATTTTACGGATTTCTTTGAGGGTCATTGGCTCCCCCATTTTGGAAAACCAAGGATAATCAGAGTTGATCCGGCAGGCTGTTTCAGAAGTAATGTGTTGGATGCGTATTTGAGGGATCGTCAGATTGAGCTCCACCACATTCCAGCTGAAGCGCACTGGCAAATGTCTTTGGTTGAAAGGTCCATTCAGAGTACTAAAGCCATGATGTCTGCCTTACTTGCGGAACATCCCAAAATGAGCGTCTCCGAGAGTTTTTACAGAGCCTTGTGGGCTGGCAACCATAGGGACCAATATCATGGATACAGTCCACTTCAGCATGCCTTTGGAAGGGCTCCGGATGAATTCGGTCATTTGGGAGAAAGTAAACTTCGGGAGATTCCGGTCCTGACGGAGCATGGGATTTCAGCTGAGTTTGGTGTGGACTTCAAGGCTATGCTAACAGCTGAAAAGGCCTTCCTGGAAGAACAAGCTAAGGAAAGGCTCAGACGGGCTGAGCTTGCAGGAGCTCGACCGATGAAGAACGTGTGCCCAGGAGACCTGGTCTATGTGTGGAGGCGGATGACACCGCGACAGGACGGGCAGCGCCATTTCAAGGGTGGAGGTTTCGTAGGTCCTTACCGGGTTCTTGCGACAGAGACCAGAACCAACTCAGAGGGTCAACTCACCGCAGGACATGTTGTGTGGTTGTATAGAGGGGGACAGTTAGTCAAGGCAGCTCCTCAACAACTGAGACCTGCTACTGCAAGAGAGGAGGCATGGCATGCTTTGCAGCATACTGCGGAGATCCCTTGGACTATTGCGGAAACCTTGAAACAGCAGCCCCCACACCAATTTGAAGATGTGTGCGATGATGCCGCGCAAATGCCAGAGGGAGTGAGAGACGGAGAGGTTGAGAGTTCCGTGATTGTGCCGAGGAGAGTCGTTGGTAAGAAGGCTCCCCAGAGAAGAGAAAGAAGCAGAAGCCCACCTCCTCCTCCCACTCGGGGTGAAACCGGGGAAGAAGATGACATGGAGTTGCTGAGGGAGTTCGAGAGAGAAGACAGAGAGGCGAGAGCGAGAGAAAGAAGCCGAAGTAATCCACTCCGTGGTCGCGCCTTGCCTCAGCAACCACCTTTGGAGGAGTCGCATTTCTCGGAAGAGCACAACTGTATGTTTTCCCAGGAGGAAAATGCTTTCTGGAGTCAGGAAGAGAGGCCAGCCGTGAGTTTCAGCATGACCTTACCACAAGCGAACACGAAGCAGGGCAAGGAGTGTTTGAGGGACATGGGATGTTTCTTCAGCAAACAACTTCGGAGGAGCGCCGTGGAAATCTCTGAGCGCCACCTCTCAGAGGCGGAGCTGGAAGGGTTCAGAGGAGCGAAGCAGAAAGAAGTGAAGAACTTTATAGTGGCTAAAGCTTTTAGAGCTCTCCCAAAACATTTGATCCCCACCAAGGAACAAGCCCTGAAGATGCGTTGGATTCTGACGTGGAAGGTTGATGAAAGCCCTCAAGAAAAAGAGCCCCTAAAAAGGGATAGTCTTGGAAATCCGCTGAAACCAAAGGCCAGAGCTGTGGTTCTAGGATACATGGATCCCCTCTACGAGCACAGACCTACGAGTAGTCCTACCATGAGCCGCACGACACGTCAGATGTTCCTGCAGAACTGTGCGAACCATGGCTTCCGGGTTGAGAAGGGAGATATCAGTGGCGCTTTTCTCCAAGGCGACGATTTTGGTCCTGAGAGACCTATGGTCTGTGAGCCCCTACCGGAGATCTGCGATGCGCTAGGAGTGCCGCGAGGACAACACATGCTCCTGACCAAGGCAGCATATGGTTTGGTGGAGGCCCCGATACAATGGTTTCTTTCTGTTTCGAGATTTCTGGAAAGCATAGGAGGCGAGAGACAACTGTCCGATCCTGCCTGTTGGGGTTTCTTTCGGAAAGATAGGACTCCTATTGGTTGGGTTTGTGGCCATGTTGACGATTTCCTTTTTGGTGGAAAGCAAGATGATCCTGAATGGGAAGCAATCCGGAAGAAAATTCAAGAGCGCTTCAAATGGGGTCAGTGGGAAACCAAATCCTTCACTCAGTGCGGTGTTTTGATTGAGCAGACGGATAGCGGGTTCCAGTTGAGCCAGCCCCAATATCTCAGCAGCATTGATGAGATACACATCAGCAAAACCCGTTGGAACACTTTGTCCGAGCCCTTGTCAGGATACGAATTGTCTCAGCTCAGGAGTGTTCTGGGAGCTTTGTCTTGGCATGCCAATCAAGTTGCCCCATTGTGGAGCACCGCGGTGAGTATGCTGTTATCTCGAATACACACCGGAACGGGACAAGAGATCGTTGACACCAACAAGTTGCTTCGTAAGGCGAAGCTCTCTCAGCACCAGAAGATGCACATACACAAACAATCGCCTGACCAGATGCTTTTGGCTGCTTGGGTTGATGCGGCTGATGGAAGCCGACCGGATGGCAGCTCCACCAAGGGCGTGTTCATTGGATGGACACATCAGCGTCTTTTACAAGGGGACTTGGCAAAGATTAGTCCTATGTTCTGGCAGTCAGCTAAGATTCAGAGGACTTGCAAAAGTTCTGGGGCTGCAGAAACTCGTGCTGCAGCAGACGCTGAAGATGAGTTGTATGCCGTTCGGTTCCAAGCTTATGAGTTTTCAGGAGGGATTGTGTCTTTGTGGCGATGTGATGATGCGGTGTGTCAGGTGCCCGGAGTGATGGTGAGTGACAGTAAAAACCTGTACGACCGACTTCAACAAACCATGCTCACACTGAAGGGTGCCGAAAAGAGGATTGATATCGAAACTCTGTGCCTTAAGGAAAGTATGGTGTCTTCCAATCTGGTTGTCAGGTGGGTCAACGGGGACAGTCAGCTGGCTAACTCACTCACCAAAGAGCATGAGCCCCACCAGTATCTAGAGTTCCTAAGAAGAGGAGGTCAATGGAGAATTGTCTTCGATCCTGAGTTGATTTCTGGCCGTAAGCGTAAGCAGATGGGACTTAAGTCATTGGACCCCGTCGTGACGTGTGAATCCGAAGAGCCGAGTGGAAAGTTTTTAAGTTCTGGGGCTGTGCAAGCTTGAAGCTTGTTGTGCCTCACACGCGTCTGGTTGAAGCACCTTTGATGGCCAAGCTAGACAGCAGGAAAAGGCCCGAGTAGCTGTGCTGTGCCACCGGCTGCATTCCGCTTGCAAGGGTGTAGGGTTTAGGGGTTTAGGGTGTAGGGTTTAGGGGTTTAGGGTGTAGGGTTTAGGGGTTTAGGGTTTAGGGTGTATAGGGGTTTAGGGTGTAGGGTTTAGGGGTTTAGGGTTTAGGGTTTAGGGTGTATAGGGTTTGCGCGTTTAGGCTGTTTAGGGTTTGGGGTAACCAAAAGGAGCTCATAGGACGCCAAAAGGGTTTTTTTCGCTTGTGAGGGTGTTAGTAGGGGTTGGGGTTCCCATAACCTTAAGGACGAGATGAACCTTAGAAGGGTTTGAGGTTCATATACCATATAGGGATTTATAGTACAAGGGTATAGGGCCCCTACTTATAAGGGTCATGTGGTCCCCAAGGAAGAATGTTCATATTAAGGCATTGAGGAATCCCTAAACCCAAGACTCTTAAACAACCATTTTGGCCTCCAATCAGGAGCTTAGGGTGTAGGGTTTAGGGGTTTAGGCATAATTAGATCTGGGCTTCGGCCACCGTTTCAGCTATATACTCGTATCGAGTTATTTCAGCAGTTATAGTCTAGCGTATAAGCAATGGACCGAAACCCCGAAAACAAAAACAAGCTCACCCCTTCGAAAGAAGCGCGCCTGTTCCCTAGTAGTGGAGTATATTTCTCAAGGGCTATTACAATCCATATATGAGAGTTTCCGAAAATATGGGACCCGGCTATAGTGCCCCAAAATAGTAGGATCCCTATTATAAGAACCCCAAATAAGGTAGCCCTAATTTCGGAAACTCCCATATGTAATCCCAAAGGTTAACCTTTAGCTCCCAAGGATGCTAGACAAAGCTCGCAAAGATGCTGGACAAAGTAGGGTTGTATAGGGGCCGTAATAATTATCACCTATTTTAAAATATTTTGGCATTGGGGTTCCTTACTATAGTTATAATGTACAATGGGCCGCAAAACCCTATTCTAATTATTAAGGCCCCTGTATTTCTTACTTCCTGCGAGGTCGGCGCAGATCTCGGTGAACTTCCGAGATTGGACAGCTCCCGCATTCAAGACAGAGGGTGCCTCCAAAAAGCTGCTGTTTAGGGTTTAGAGGAGTTTATGGGTTTAGGGTTGAGGTGCTGAGGCTGAGTATCGTCTTGGGCTTACGACTTGGGCATCAACTCCAGGGTGGCAAGATTATTCATTCTTGTGTGGTGCGCCGTTCCATGCCCAACATCATGACCTTCAGCAACTCGGTGCTCACTGAAGTCTGAAGTGGTTTTGATGTTTATCGCAGCGATGACCTACGCCCCTGCATCTCTTTACAGAGCAATCCCCCAAACAGGAAGCAGGCTTGAGGGACTGCAAAAGCTCACCCATGCAGATATGATGACGATAGGCTCCTCACGTATGCATAACAATACATTTGAGAGCCCAGTTAAGTGCACCAGTGACATGGCCTTCAATGTACCCCTAAACCTTAAACCCTAAACCCTATACACCCTAAACCCTAAACCCTATACACCCTAAACCCTAAACTTTGCACCTTCCGCAGCAAGTGTTCCGGAGCCAGTGGGTCATCTCGTTCCCCCGCCGAGAGCCCGGCCGCGACTGGTTGGAAGGTGGATCCCAAGAGTTAGATCTAAGACAGGCGCCTTAAAAATTAAATTACCTATACTTTTGATTACTTTTGGGGGTTCCTTACATAATTATAACAGAAAAATAGGCACCAAAACCCTATTGACATTTTAATTATTGAGGCCCCCATATTACGATTCTGGAGATTGGGTGGATTGTCAGTTCTTCGCATCAGTGTTCGAGATTGCATCGGCTTAAGACACTTTTGGGCCTCTACTGTAAATGCTTAAATCCCTACAGCATGACCAGTTTTGTAAAAGTAGGTCTCAACATCGCTAAATCTCCGAACCTGTGGACTCGGAGCCCTCCATTTTCTTACCGAACCCTTAACTCAGCAACGTCCTGAATCTCACTAAACTCCCATAGCATCAGGATTTTGCCTTCTCTCACGAGGTGCTGGAATTAGGCTGTTGGGTTCCAAACTTTCGGCGTTAAACTGTATAGTATCTGTACAGGATCCCGGATAGGAAGCTACTCAAGAACTGAAACCCCGAACGCAAGCATGAAGGCAGAGCTCTATGCATACGCATTTACCCCGGCTTCTCCAAGGGTAAAAGGAGAGACCCTTAATGAGGACCCCTAGGTATATTACCTAATATAGCTATTATATACCCATGATATAGCCCGTTATAGGGTAGGGATGCCATTAAGGGTCCCTCCTTTTGCCCGTTGAGTTTAGGGTTTAGGATCTTCGGGTTTCAGGTTTTAAGTGTCGGGTCTAGGGTGTATGGACTTAGGATTGGGTTTTTCAGCCCAATTCGCCAAAAGCTGAGTGCATTGTAAGAAAGGAAAGAACTCCAAAAGGGTTTTCAGGTTCACATACCATGTAGGGAATCATGGTATAATGGTATAAAACCCCTACTAATACATGTCATGTGGCCCCCAATGCAAAATAGTTACCCCTAAACCCTAAACCCTAAGCCTTGAACCCTAATCCGAAACCCTAAACCCTAAACCTTGAACCCGAAACAGCTTTTTTCCCCCGTGCAAGGGCATGGCTTTCTCCTCATACCCTCCGGGGCGTGCCCCGGAGCCTCCTGCAGGCAGCCTGTGGCGCTTTGTCCTGTTCGGGTTCAACAACGGCTCTTCTTTGTAAAGGTGAGACGATATTATGCCGAATAGAAACAACCCATTCGAAGTTACTCTTTTATGCCGAATAGAGAGCCTTGTCTTAAGCATGAATTCGGGCCCTCAAAGGTTGTAGGCAGGGTAACTAGACGGTTGCAAGTCTGGGGTGTCCGGGCTCAGGGTTTGCATTGTTTCGAGGGGTGAGATGCCTGTAGGCATCAATGCGGATGCATGCATGTACGCAGTCTCGGGGAGGTTTGTCCGGATTTCGTGTGCACAGTCGATGAGTTTGCCTAACAACCGGCCTCGGGTGCACAACCTGGTCAACTCCGGTGCCTCAACAACTATCTTCTAAAACTCAGGGTCTGCACTCGTCTGGCTCTGGACAGGCTGAACACGTGATAAATCAGCAGACTCGAGCACTTGATAATATCTAAGACTTATCTCTGCGTGTTGCAGCTGAACAACCTTGCTCAAGCATTTTCCATGAGCATCTCCTCGCGAGTACCCACTTGTTTTCGAGAGCAGATCTGGGTCATCAGGTTTATGCGAGAAGCAATTTCGTTTCCGCTTCAGATTGAGGTTGCTTGCTTCGTCTGACAAGTCTTTCAGCTGTTTGGCTGCCGGGATGGCGAGGACTGGTGGGAATGCCCGGACAAGAGCTTCGAGAAGACGAGCTGCGCCACTTTCTTCGAGAGGAAGAGCAGATCTGGGTCATCAGTTTCAGCGACCAGCGGCCGACCGATGAACCCAGCCGCGACATCAAAAGACATCAAGGAATAGCAGCTGGAGTCTGCGAGTTTGCCCACGCTCGTGAGTGAAAGTGCTGCGAACGAGACACCAGGAGGACAGAATTTCGTTTCCGTTCCAGATTCAGGTGGCTTGCTTCATATCCTCACCTGCAAGTGAGACAAACAGCTGAAAGACTTGTCTGGATGCTACGAGACTTTCGTAGCAGCCTGATAGGTCGTTCAGCTGTTTGTCTGGCGGGATGGCGAGGACTGGTGGGAATGCCCGGACAAGAGCTTCGAGAAGACGAGCTGCACCACTTTCTTCGAGAGGAAGAGCAGATCTGGGTCATCAGTTTCAGCGACCAGCAACCGGCCGATGAACCCAGCCGCGACATCAAAGGACATCACGGAATAGCAGCTGGAGTTTGCGAGTTTGCCCACGCTCGTGAAAGTGCTGCGAACGAGACACCAGGAGGACAGAATTTCGTTTCCGCTTCAGATTCAGGTGGCTTGCTTCATATCCTCACCTGCAGGCGGGACAAACAGCTGAAAGACTTGTCTGGATGCTACGAGACTTTCATAGCAGCGTGATAGTGTTTCAGCTGTTGGTCTGGCGGGATGGCGAGGACTGGTGAGAATGCCCGGTCAAGAGCTTCGAGAAGACGAGCTGCACCACTTTCTTCGAGAGGAAGAGCAGATCTGGGCGATTTGGGTCATCAGTTTCAACCCAGCTGCTACATGAAAGGAAAAGGAACAGCAAGGGAGTGTGACCACCCCTCGACAATGTTGCGCACCAGACACCAGTAAGTACAGAAGCAAACGGCCAGCCAGAAAGGCTCAATGATTTGACAAAGGGGTGCCCGACAAAGCCGCTTGTCTCTTTCCGGTGTGCAATGGGTACTTGGTCATGACCTGATCATGATGACCTCGGGCCTGGGAGAACTGCAACCAGTCAATACACAGAAGCCGACCATTGAAGCCTTACAACTATATAGGATCCCATATAAGGTACCCTATTTTAGAAATCTAGCCAATAGTACCCTTACAGAAATCAAAACCCCTGCAGCAGCCCTGCTGAAATATGCCGACTATACTGCAATGTGTTTTGCACTAGAGTGGCGCTGAATCCCGGCCTTCACAACCGTCATGCTCTTGTTAAACCCTATAGACCCTAAACCGTTTTTCATATCCCTAAACTCCAAACTTTAACCGATAGCCCTAAACCATATGTTCGCTGTTCGCCTCCAACACGGTGGAACTCAGTGCTGCGCAGGCTACAGGGCGCCGCCTCCACAGGCACATCCCGACCTGGGGTTTTGGGGATCGGGTTTACATAGATCCCAAATCGTAGTACCTTCTCTTTTGCGATAGCCCGTTCTATGGTTAAGAGCGTATGATAAGAGACTAAGGTAGCCAAAGAAAAGTACCACAGCTCAGTGTCTAAGTAGAGAGCTCTGCCTGGTGTTTTGGGCATTCTTGTGTTTACTGGGTGACTTGCACAGGGCTTTTCAGGGCTGGACGTCGGCTTGCACTCGGTACATTCAGCTTGAGACCAGAAACATGGGAACTCTTGCAATGCAGGGCCCAACCGCAAAGAAAACAAGGGCTCGGAATGCTTGCGCTGGTGTACCCAACGGTCTAGCTAGCACATTAAGCTCTGAGCACAAACGCGTAGCCAGAAACTCCGCACTCCCAACAGTGCTAATACATAGAGGTTAGGATGATATCTTTCAAGTCCATATATAGTGACATGTAAGCTACCCCCAAACCCTTGGCCTTAACAATTACCTATACTGTTTTGGGGGTTCCTTCTTATAGCTATAGTACAATATACTCCCAAACCCTTTTCTATTAAGGCCTCTATCTCATTCGAAATGTCTGGGCTTCTAGGATCCCTATGGCGCTGTCCGACCGAAACCACTGAACCCTGGCCCTAAACTCTAAACCCTAGACCCTAAACCCTAAACCCTAACCCTATCGTAAATGTTTGGGCCCCGAGGATCCCTATGGCGCTGCCTACCCGCCGCCCAGCTATGCCGCCCGGGGTCCACCTGGGCCCCCAGGAGGCGAAATAACTCTCAGCGCTCAGTATCCCAAAGGGTCCTACGGTTGATGATTTAAATCCTGCATGACCCATAATAAGGAATGTACCATAATGCCCATAGTTTAGGGTCTTTAAGGTAATGCAGGATTTGTATCATCAACCCTAGGGTTTCTTTTTTTTAATGTTCCATTAACTAGGCAGGGCTTGTTGGGCTTAAGAGACCCACCAACATTTTCAAAGGCTTTAAAAGCACGTCCTAGATTACGGGTTTAGGGTTCCTTTAAGGGCTCCTGTACGTACCTCTATAGTAGAGTGTAGGGTATCTACCAGTTGTAGTCCAGTTTCTGTTTCTGGGTACAGGGTTTTTCTCCCACAAGCAGCTTTTGCCTGCATTCAGCTTTGTATGTAGTACTAAGTACGCGGTGTAGTAGTGAAAACTACTACTATGATTTGGGAAGGTGTTCCTCGTAACAGTAACCTTATGTCAGCTCGGACTACGGGCACGGGATGTTGAGTTTCTCGAAATGTCGAGCATCTTCATCGGATTTCCTCGCGATCCTCAAGTTTGCTTTGGATTAGTAGGGTTTTGGGGTTTTGGGTTTAGGGTTTTGGGTTTGGGTTTTGGAGCTTGGGTTTAGGTTTTAGGGTTTGAGCAGATTCGCGATCTTCGAGTTTGCCTTGGCGATTCAGTTTGGGGCTGCACCGCCACCGTTCAGTGTGTTGCGTGGAGTGGGTTTCGCTGAGGTATCAGTAGCCTGAAAAGTTAGTCAAGCTATTTCGTCAGGGTTCGTCCAAAAACACCGGCATCATATCAGTAGAAACTTGTAGTAAGCAACTCTTTAAGGGAGCCCCGTAACGGAGCCCGATTCTACTTGTTAAGGCACCTATAGTATAAGTGTAGGACTGCCGCTGATCAGGATGGGGGCTACGGCAGGTCCAAATCCCAAAAGGTGCACCGGATGGAGCCCGATGGTGGATATTCCGAGTCCTAAAACCCGAATCTTAAACCGAATTACATGGCGGTTGGGGTGGGTGGGAGGGAGGTTAGGAAGGTTGTCAAAGTCGGAACGATCTCTTTTTCCAGGCTACTCGCCACCGCCAGCACAGGGCCCTCTGACCGTGGTGGCTTGGCGCGTGCAGGGTTGATGTTTGCACTTGGGGATCGGGGTTTCGGGATTTCGGGCTGTTTGTCCGTCCTGTCTTCAACCCTCTCCCCGACCCCCAAAGAACTTACATTTTTGGGTTTAGAGTTTAGGTGCCAACCTTCATGCCTGCTTCCTGCCTACCTACAGCTGCCTAGCTTACCTACCTACGCAGCGAGCTACGTATACGCACATACATACAGACTAGTACAGGCATTACAAATACATACTTGCTTACGTACATATCATACAGACACTGTATAAAACATGCATACACACGCACGCATACATACCTAAGTACATACATGCGTGCACGCATTATATTGTTGCATCCATCCATTCATATGCGTCAATGCATCCAAGAGGTCGTAGCGCAGCTTTCATGTTGCATTGCTTCTTCTTCTTTTCTTCTTCTCTTGCCTGTGCCGGCTTATAGGTGGGCCCCAAGTTGTCAGCAGTCAGAACTGAATTCTTGCGTTCAGGGTGTGTCGAGGAAACATACAAAGACAGAACAGATGGGGTGGGAAGATGAGTTCGAGAGACGTGCCTGGTCGCACTTTATGGTTGAAGCTTGAAGATGTCGCGACAACTTACGAAAAAAAGTATCTGGGGTCGAAAAATCCCCACCAGTATTGCCCCGCAGCCCACACTGGAGAGTTCTGCCGTAGACTGGAGCTATGCCGACCATGTGGCCTTATGCCCCAAGCCTACATATCTGTCGCATTTCGAGTGTTTGCTTTTCGTCCGGCTTGCCGAAGGTGGCGAGTCCTGCGGTGCTTTCTGGCGACAGTGCGCTTTGCATTTCTGGAATGTCTTTCAACCGTCATGAATACTTTGAAGAGTGCTACTACTACTGAGGTTTCCAAACTAGACCATGTGCTGCATAATACTGAACCCCCCCCTTTATTTAAGACACTGCCCCACTTCTTTAGTGGCCTGTCGATGAGTTTGGGGGATCCACAACCGTATACAACGATGAAGACAGGAGCTTTCTGGACCCCAAAGCCAAAGGCCGTGAAGCCTAACTCGAGAACCGCGCAGTACGATGTAAATAGTTGTGCTCCATCATAATCCCTATATGACCATACTTTGTTTCCCCCCCCGCAATCAAAAAGATAACACGAAGAACGGCTACATAACTAGTTATGCTGACCCTTGTATGGACGCTGCGTTGAGGAATTCATTTTTCCAAGTGCAATGGGACTCGCCGGGCACTGGCTGCTCGACTTTGCGGGGGTTTGCGTTATGCAAACCGGAACCGACCATAACCCATGTTTTGCATGTCCTTGTTTTCAAACCCTAATGTATAGGTTTACAGTGACCCTAGGGAGAAGTAGGTTGGGACTACCTGAGGCTCCCAAAACCTACCGGCTTGCAGGCTATGCCATCTAATCAAGGGGTCGTAAGCCACTCTTTTGCACGGCTTGGGGCTGCAAGTATAGGGTTTATGATTTCGGGCCTTCGGCTTGGTAACTCAGGATGAGGGTGCAGGTCAGGCTTTTGAGGATGCCCTTTATTGGAACATGACAGCGTCGCCAGGTACCAAGTACTACTGGTACAGGGTCCGTGCCTGAGCTCGTCGAATGCGAGAATTACAAGCTTGGCATCTTCTTCCAAACATCAACTGCCCTTTCACGCAAGCCGTTGTTCAGGTTTCGCGGTTAGCCGGTTAAACCCTAGACCCTAAACCGGATGTCCTGCAGTTGGAAAAGAGCCCTTCGAAAAAAACAACAAAAATCGAATGTCCGGGCTGGGATATTTCTTGTGCAGGAAGCGAGTCAACTTCCCATACGGGTCCATGCGGTCATATAGCTTATAGTAGTAATATGCAGTGGCCTGAAAGCAGTCCCTATATGAATGGTACTTTAGGGCCAGACCGTACGCTAGATAAGTACATGGACCCTTTAGGTTCGCGAGGGGGCACAACTACCAAAGATTGGCGAGATCTCAGTTGTTGCTGGATCGGGAGATCGTCCTGACCCTAAGCTACTGTAGCAAATAGGGTCTATAGTAAGTGGAATATGGCTTTAGGTTATGTTATCATTGAGCCTAAACTACTGTAGCCAATAGGTGCCTTAATAAGTAGAGAAAGTCTTCAGGGTATAAATTATACCTTAACCCACCAAAACCTACGGTCCCTAAAAATCCTCTATTAGGGTTTATAACAAGAACCTACAAAAAAGCAGGTTGTGGTAGTTTCAGGTACCCATACTCCTAAACCATAAGCTTTCGCGCTTGTCCAGCCATCAGCCACTGTCCTGAAGGCTCCCAATCCTCACCAGAAAGTGCCGCTCGCAGTCTGCAACCGCCCATTCTCAAAACCTCAAGCCTATAGCCTAGGGCCCCATGATCTCTTCGGGTGTAGGCTTTGAGGTCAAGGGTTGAGGGTTTAGGGCCCCCTGCATGATCTCGAGTGGCCTCACATCGGACGACATCCCCAAAGCCTGTCTGGACATCCCAACTTCCAAAACCCGCGGCATCAACGCTGAAATTCCTGAGCTTATGCCCATCGGCTCCATAATAGTTTTTTTTGGGGGGGTTCATATTTAGAATCCTATAAGGTAATCCCGAAAAGGAGCTACTTTGGAGCCTCTGGGTAGGCACTTTAGGAAGGTGCATCCGCAAAGCCCTGCTTTCGTAAGGTATCTTACCTAGGTGGAATCGATCTACGAGCGGTCCGGGCTCCCGGCAGTTGAGGTCTATAATATAGGGGCCTTAACAATTAGTATAAGGTTTTGGGGGCCATTATACTAAAATTATAATAAGGAACCCTCAAAATAGCATAGGTAATTATAAGGGCCCCTATACTAGGGACTAGGATTTAGAGATCTGCTTTTTGGGGCTTCTGGTGCAGGGTCGAGAGCTTGACACTGTTTGCATCGGCTTCGTCGGTAAATACAGGCATTGGGTTTAGCAAGGTTTGTAGCGGAGTCGTGCGACGTTATTGTCTTGTTCAGCCGATCTGCGCGAGTTCATCGGACCTCTGTGGTTGTTCACTTGCAAGGTTTTCGTGCGCTGGTGTTGGTACCAGCTTTGCTGATGTGTAGCAGCCAACAAGCATCTTGTCCACGTTCACGGAGCTGAGCTGAGGAGAGCTGAGCTTTGTCGGGCGAAAGTCGGTCACTTGCATGGAAGCCCTTGCAATTCGTGCGCATGGACAGCCCCATAGGGTTTCGCCGCGCATGTACTCGCTCCGTAACCCCAATCTGCGATCTTCCGTTGGCTTCCAGCGAACTGTTGCCACATGCGCTTCAGTACGAGTTCCTCGAGTCTGTGAACCTGCATGTGTGTGTGTGTGTCTCTGTCTGTATGTGAGTGTGTGTTACAGTTGTATGTGTGTGTGCGCGCAAATTTAAACCCTACAGACCCGACTACAAAGCTCCGGATATGGAGCGAGGCACCCCATTGTTCCGATTATGTATAAGTCTGACATGCCTAAAAGGGCTAAGCCCTACAACCCTAAATGCGCATGTAGTTTTCGGCTGCACCGAACAGTCCTTTAAGCCACCAACGTCTGCAGAATCAATCTGATATAATCCCTGCACAAGCTATAAATCCATGCAGCGTGCATGTGTAACACATACCCCAAACCTCCACTCGAGCCACCAAGGCCTCCTCACATTGGCTTACCCTCAACCCCACACCCGAACTCCTCTAAACCCTGAATTCCAAAGCCAAGACCCCCAAGTCAAAATCTCCCACGTTCCCCTAAGCCCAAAAACGGCCGAGGGACCAAACATTGATGCCCCACGCGTGGGCTGCACGTTGGGTGCGGGCCTTTCGTTGCTCAGAGAAGGACCTACTTAAAGGGTTTAAATCATATAGTTTGGCCTTGAAGTACCTAGATATATATCATATCTGGGACTACTTCAAGGCCATTGTGTATCCT